GAAGCTTTTTAGCTTGATGTAACCCTAATTGTCATCTTTGGTTTTGATTGCCTGTGCTTCTGGGGTCCTTTCCAGGAGGTCTCTGCCTATGTTAATGTATTGCAGAGTTTCCCCCAATGTTCTCCTCTAGTAACTTGGTGGTATCAGGTTGTAGATTAGGTCTTTTGTTCATTTTGAGTGGATTTTTATGTAAGGTGTAAGGTAAGTCTAGTTTCATTCTTCTGCATGTGGAGATCCAGCTTTCCCAGCACCATTTGTTGAAGACACTGTCTTTGCTCCAGGGATTGATTTTAGCTCCTTTGTCAAAAATAAGTTGGTTGTAGATGCACGGATTAATTTCTGGAGTTTGTATTTTATTCCATTGATCTATCTTTTTAAATAATCAACTGTTGGTTTCATTGATTTTCTCATTTTTCTATTCTATAACTTATTTATAATGTCATATTATTTTCTCTATTCTGCTTACTTCTGGTTTTATTCCTTTTCTGGTTTACTAAGATGGAAGTTATATAAGGTGTTCCCTGTTTTCATATTAAGTATTTAGAGTTAAAAATTTCCCTCTGGAGATTGCCTTTACTACATCTCTTGTTTGGTTTGGCATGTTTTCTTTTCATTCACCTCAAAGTATTTTCAATTTTTGCTTATGATTTTGTGTTTGGCCCACTGGTTATTTATGAGAATGTTAATTTCCCTGTTTCTCACATTTCTCCCCAAGATTACTTCCTAATTTATTTCTTTATAGACAGAGAACCTATATATTATTTGAATGTTTTAAAACCTAATGAAATTTGTTTTATGGCTTAACATTTCTATTCTAAAGAATGTCCTGTGTATGCCTGAGAAAAGTTTGTGTTCTGCTGTTGCTGGGTGTTGCTGAAGATTTCTACTTCTCTCCTTATCTTCTGTCTAGCTGATTCATTTATTATTGCAGCCATCTGGGGAGTGAACCAGAGGATGGAAGCATGCTCTATCTCTTTCTGTAACTCTGCCTTTCAAATAAATCTTAAAATTGAAAAAAAAAAAAAAAGCTTTACATGAGAAGTATACCTTGTATATTTAATATACCTTTATTCCTTAAAGGATTGCTTTTATCTTGTAATTCTAGATTGGCAGTTACAGAATTCTGGCACACTGAATTTATTTTGGCTGTTTTCTTTCAATGTTGCTGTCAAGAACAGTCCTATCAGTTTAATCTGTTTTTATCTTTACCTATTTTTAAGACTTCTATTGGTGTCTACAGTTTCAGTATGATGTAGAGTTTTAAAAAGATTTGAAAATGTTTTTAAAGACTGATTTGAAAAGCAGAGTGACAGATGGAGAGATAAATGGGGATGGAGTGTGGTGGGGGCAGACGACATCTACCATCATTGATACAATCAGCAAAGGTCTGCAGCAGCCTGAGATGGACCAGGCCAAAGTCAAGAGCCAGGAGCTTCCTCTGGGTCTTCCATATGGGTGCATGGGCCCAAGCACTTGGGCCAACCTCTACTGCTTCCCAGGTGCATTAGCAGGGAGTAGTATTGGAAGTGGAGCAGCTGGACTAGAACTGGCACTCCTATTTGTGCTGTGGGCAGTGGAAGCAGTGGCTTAGCCTACTGAGTATTTTTTCCAACATTTTTAGTTGTTCCAATATTTTCATTAGGAGGGTTTGGTCCTTCCACACTGGAAATGTGATTAAAGTTTTAAAATAAAGATCTCCATTTACATACTGCTTTATAACTCATTTTAAAAAACTAAAGTGTAATGAGATCTTACTATGTTTTTATCTCATTATGGTTTTCTATTGTATATTATTATTATTATTTTTTTTTTTTTACAGAGTTAGACAGTGAGAGAGAGAGAGACAGAGAGAAAGGTCTTCCTTCCATTGGCTCACCCCCCAAATGGCCACTACAGCTGGTGCGCTGTGGCTGGCACACTGTGCCAATCCGAAGCCAGGAGCCAGGAGCTTCCTCCTGGTCTCCCATGCGGGTACAGGGCCCAAGCACTTGGGCCATCCTCCACTGCCTTCCTGGGCTACAGTAGAGAGCTGGACTGGAAGAGGGGCAACTGGGACAGAATCTGGCGCCCCAACTGGTACCAGAACCCAGGGTGCCAGTGCCACAGGCGGAGGATTAGCCTAGTGAGTGCGGCGCCGGCCTCTATTGTGTATTATACTAAATGCTACAAAAGATGCTTTACATTTTTTTACATACAGAATAACTGACACATCAAATTAATGGCATAAACTGTGTGTGTCCCCAGTTAGTTTTAAACAAGAGAACTGGCAATTATTTTTATTCAAGATACTTTAATAGATATTAAGACTACAAAATTTACTTGAAAATAAAGCCAGTAGAGTGACTGAAGCCACATCAATCCCATTTATTCACCCACCTTCTGGTATTCTTTCAGTGATGTGTCTGCTGAGACCATGAGCAATTGAAGCAATATGAGAATACAAAAATAATGAGATGGGCATTCTGGTGCAGCAGGTTAACCACGATTAGGGATATTCCATACCAGAGTGCCTGATTTACATTTTGGCTATTCCATATGTCTGATCCAGCTCCTGGTTCCTGCCTTCAGCCTGGTCCAAACCTTGCTGTTGTGGCCATTTGGGTATTGAACCAGTGGAGAAGATCTCAATCTCTCTTGCTCTTTCTCTCTGCACCTCCACGCACTCCCACCCCCATCACTCTGCCTTTCAAATTAATAAATAAAAAGGAAGGAGGGCCTATGCTGTGGCACAGCGGGTTAAATTTCTGTCTGCAGCACAAGCATCCCACATGGGAACCAGCTGGAATCCCAGCTGCTCCACTTCCTTTACAGCTCCCTTCCAATGTGCCCGGGAAAGCAGCAGATGATGGCCTAAATCCTTGGGTCCCTGAACCCACATGGGAGCCCTGGATGAAGTTCCAGGCTTCTGCCTGGCCCAGCCCCAGATGATGTAGCCCTTTTGGGAGTGAACCAGCAAACAGAAGGCCTCTCCCTCTCTCCCTCCCTTGCTCCCTCTCTCCCTCCCTCCCCCCCCTTCCTTTCTTCCTCTCTCCTTATAACTCTGCCTCTCAAAATAAGTAGAATCTTAAAAACAAACAAAAAAGGCAGCAGCAACAACATAGGTAAAGGAATCAGAAATCTGGCAATCAGCATTATTCTAAGAAACTTCTTGTAAAAGAACATAGTTCAGAAATTACAGTTTCTCAGGTGGGAAGGAAAACAGCCCTTCAATTTTGACTGATTTAACAGTGGACACAAAAAATGATACTGCACTTTTCACAAGTAAAGGACACACTGTAGCCTTTCTGGAATGAGTTCCTAGCAGATAAGAACTATGCTATTTACTATTTACATATGTTTTTAAAAATCTGGTTTTTTTTGTTTGTTTGTTTGTTTGTTTTTGACAGGCAGAGTGGACAGTGAGAGAGAGAGAGACAGAGAGAAAGGTCTTCCTTTTGCCATTGGTTCACCCTCCAATGGCTGCCGCGGCCGGCACGCTGTGGCCGGCGCACCGCGCTGATCCAATGGCAGGAGGCAGGTGCTCCTCCTGGTCTCCCATGGGGTGCAGGGCCCAAGCACCTGGGCCATCCTCCACTGCACTCCCTGGCCACAGCAGAGAGCTGACCTGGAAGAGGGGCAACCGGGACAGAATCCGGCGCCCCGACCGGGACTAGAACCCAGTGTGCCGGTGCCACGAGGTGGAGGATTAGCCTATTGAGCCATGGCACAGGCCTAAAAATATGTCTTCTTTTTTAAACAAAGAGCACCAAAGCTATTGTTTGAGTTTATCCCAGGAAAATGGTAGTGATATCTGCTAAATGTACACCAATGATGAAAGGGTTATTGGCCTAATAAATTTCATTGATTAATCTAATTATCTTGCATCTATTATTACTCTTATATTTCAAGAAGCATGCTATTAAGCAAAAACAATTTTCAGGGAAGTATTTTGTTAATAGCAATTTCTATCAAACTTCTTATATAATTGGCTTACTTATTTAGATTCTTCAGTACGCTAGTTTCCTTTCCTAGCACGTCAGTGCAAAAGCACTGCTGTGATTTTAAACAGTGTTTATAGTACTTTGACAGGATATAAAATAAACCTTACATTCTGTTTCCTAATGAAATATATATAGGTAGCAGTGCATTATCTATAATACAGTCATGCATCACTTAATGACAGACATATGTTCTAAGAAATGTGTTGTTAGACAATTTCATCATCGCATGAACATGATGAAGTGTACGTACACAAACCTGGATGATAGAGTTTCATCATTCCACATAGCATCTTGACACAACCAAACAAACACAATAACCACAATATATATGAGACTGCTGCTGGTGTAACCTAACACAGTATTTTAAACTTTGTATAAGTAAGCATATACTCCATTGTAAAATTATAATGAGGCCACTACTGTATAAGTAATCTGCCAGTGAAGAAACATAATTCTAAATAGTCATGGGACAAAAAACAAAAAAGTACACAATCTTCTGAAATACTTAAAATCTGAGTTCAAAAAGGGATCTACTTCACCAAATACTTTCCAGTGTATTCAGGTACTACATATTGTGCACACTGTGTGTGTGCTTCTGGCTTAAAAGATAGAGAAAACATGGGATGTGGCCCTGAAACAGATGAACTCCCTGTTTTACACATGCACTTGGCATTTATCAGGAAAGGCATACCTAGTATAATATTTATAACTTTCCTAGTATACGTAATATAATATTTATAACTATAATAAATAACTTTCCCAAGTTAGTGAGTCACTATTAATGCAATTTAAAGACAATTGTGGCATTTTCATTAATTTGTTTTTGACAATTCTTTTATGTCTCAGACACAATAACATTTTAATTCTTTCTACAAATGCAAGTAACCAAATTACTGGTTTTACCTAGGCAACAGTTCAGACCTCCACCTCCTTACCACCATCAATGTAATTAAACCAGTTTAGTAGACTGAAACTAAGTTTGAAGCCCCACTACATGTAAAGATAACATCACATGTTGCACACATTTTAGGAGATGAAACGTTTACTTAGAAATTGCAAACATTTAGTAAAGATAAGACAAACACTATTTTCCAAATTCTACAGAAATACAATAATTTATAGCTGGCTTGGTACACGGTTACATGATAAAAAAAAACTAACAGAAGAAAGAATGGTTCATTCTACTTTTCTGTCACTTATCACAATTTAATAAGAGTACCAGTAAATACTGGAAGACAGCTGCATAGGAAGATTAGAATTCTAGGGCTGTTTGTTAGTATACATAATCATAATATAAAAACAAAACAGGTACAGATATACAATTACCATGCAATTTAAGCTATTATGTCAAAGAAACAGGACAGAATTTAGTGAATACAACTGAAAAGTATGTTGTTATAATTAGCATATCATGGTACTTTTTATGGCATGGAATTTCTTCCTCCTGAAATAGTGCTTGGCAAAATGGAACACGTTGATCTTACTTCTAGAGGAAATTTAAAATGAAGATGAAGAAAAATAAGTGGATAATTCTATTAGATGCTTTTTAAATTATTCTTAATAATTTTTAAAGTACCATAATTTCCTGCCTACTTCATTGTCTCTGACCTGAAAGTCCTACCTTGTAGCCTATGAATCTGCACTGCCCAATAAGTAGCTCTTAGCTATATGCAGCTTGAGCATTTGAAATGCAGACGGTCAGAACTCAGATGTGCTGTGATTGCAAAATACACACTGAACTCTGAAGACTAAATGTGGGGAAAGAAGTAGCCAAGATATCTCACTAGTAGTTTTCACATTTGATTATATGTTGAAATAATATTTTACACAAAATATATTATTAAAGTTAATTTATACCTATTATATGTTGCTACTGGAAAATTAAAAATTACTTTGTGGCTTACATCATATTTCTATTGAATGAATGGTGCAGATACAGATGATCTACAGTCACTACATTAGCCTTACAATTTAGCATCATAATGTAAGCACTCTGGGATACTAACTTACAGTATACCACAAGCATATGCTACACAGACTTCACTGTAAAATTTACCTTATCCTTCTGTATAGCATACATTTTAGATATAAAAAGAATTCAAAACTATTTAGACCTTTAAAGACAGGTCAATTCATACACAATGAGAGTTAAAAAACAGTTAAAGACTGCGATACTAGTGGCAAGTAGATTAAGAAACATAGCAGTGCAAACTTATCTTGAATGCCCAAGATCTGACTTTGTACCACACATCACATATGTAACTTGTCCATTTGAGCATAAATTGCAGGAAAATCTTACAACATGGATTGACTGAAACTTCCTGAAACACTCCAATGAGGTGAATTCTAAAAGCAGAATATTATATCTAAGAACTTTCCCTTAAATTAAAACCTCTCCCTTAAAGTCCCTCTGAGTTAAACTCAGCAACTAACTGGTATCCAGAAACTTAGGTTAAAAAAAAAAAAAAAAAAAGAAACCAACAAATTCCCAAACATAGCAGCTATCAAAAAAGGAGTACTGACCTTTTAGTTTTTTCTCCTTCTCTTCCTTTTCTTAGTTTTTGTAGTACAGTGATTAAATATTTGGCATCTTTGCAATAACTCATCTTTTATATGTCCCAAATTAAAACAATAAAATAATCAAAGACACATTCTGTTATGCTCCTAGAGCACACACAAAACACAGCACTGACAGTGGTCACCTCAGTCCCTGTCATCATGCATCAAAAACCTCACCAGGAGGCAGTGCCTCACTGCCCTTGGATACACACTCTCTTCCGCAGGTAGGAATGTTTCTGCATGGTTTCTTCTTTAGGCTCTTTACTCTTCTCACAAAGGTAAACTGTATGAAAAATGCTCTGAAAGCTACAAATTAACAGAAGCTGAAACTACTGCATCATTCATAAAAACTTACTCCTGTCAAAAATGTTCTGAGAAAACAAGTAAAAGCTACTTAATGGAATTTAATTATTTTACCACACCATTTTTAAGACACTAGAAAGCAACTAAGATTTAAGAAGAAATTTTTTAAAAAATCTAAGATCAGATAGCACTGGAGATGCCAGTAATGGAAACTAGTAATAGAAGGCTACAGTAGCTCTCTCTCAAAGTCAGCCGCCTACTTTTTAAGACATTTAATCACATTTATTAACATTCCTGCACAAGAAGGAACTTTTCACATCTCTTCAGATCATGTTCTACATAAACAATATTTTCATTACATTACTAACTATAACCAAACTGAGCCTGCTAATTCATGTCAAACTATATAATTTTTCAATTTCACAGATATATTACTTTACAAATATACTCTTCTTTGAAAGGATGGCAAACTATCCTTTCTGAAAGTTCACTTAGTTTGGAGTCAGATCAATAACCAACTAAGTGGGGGGGGAAGCCATTGTAACCCATGAGTCGTACTTTGGAAATTTATATTCATTAAATAAAAGATAAAAAAAAAAAATAACCAACTAAGTATTCATTAGGCACCTGCTATGGCTGTACTTGTCTATACCCATGCTTTAACCAATAAAAGATACTTGCTCCAAATTCAAGGTGACATCTGTGACAGAGGACAATATACCAGCATTTCTAATAGAATGCTGTTTTTGTCAACATTTAGACATGAAATTTTACAGCTCCTATGACTTAAAAAACCTTCAAATATACCATCCCTTACCTTTTAAACAATCTGAAGTATGCTATATAGTACTCTGAAGAAAGTGACTGCCATATATAAAATTAAGGCTAATGCCCTGAAGATATGGAAGAGAAGCCATAATGTCACAGTTTATAAACCATCAGAGACTTAATATAAACAATTTGCACAGACATCTGGCTAATTCAGGCAAATGGGCTCTTGTGTAAGGTTCCCAACTTTGCTGGAGGGTGTTGGCGTAATAAAGAAAACTGTCTTAAGACAGTTAAGAACACATTTATGCAAACTGGAAAATAAAAATCATTTGGATAAAATTCTTTGTAAAATCACCATATAAATTCAATCTCCAAATCATTTAAACATGTATACACACAAATATATATATGTAGGCATGCACAGAAACATACATACACCTTAAAAGCATCAAATTTCACTTGTAATGCTGTACAATTAGACTCAGAGCTTTGCCCTGTGCATTGGAACCTGATTACATACTTCATGAAAAATGGTGTGTTTCCTCCAAACCTAAGAATGTGGACAATGATGATAAGACAGGGATAAGCTGGTCTTACCTTTCCAGCACTTATCAAATCTGACTTGCTGAACTTCTATAATGTGTAACATATTACTCAATGTGCTGAGCATGTATGGAATGTTTCTATAAAACATCCTCAGGGAAAAAGGGCTAGGAAAAAAAACTGTTGTCAATCTGAAAAACAATGGTAGCTGTTTTCTTCCATAGCAATTTCAAAAATTGAGAATGATGTCAACCAAAACAAAATGCAATCACCACCATCTCTGCCAAAATGGAAATATAATAATATAGAAACCATTCCTGTAGAAGACAAACATAGAATGTTCGGAATAGAGCCACAGGGACTGAAACTGTGAGATGAACAAGGCAGTCACAGAGCATCTGCGAGCTACTGCACAGGACTGGTTTATAAAAAATACTATCTATTCTAAAATTTTAAGAACTATTACTGTATTTAGCATATTTTTGCCTTTTTTGCCACTGAATATAAAATTTTGCCCTATATTTACTAAATCTTCTATACCCTGAGGAATAACAGACTAATAAAAGAAATGTCAGGGTTAGCTTTGTGGACTGTATTATTGACCAGAAAGCACAAACTATATGTAGCAAATATTCTTGGAAGCACAAGGTTTTACCAGCAGACTAGGCTACTGTCCTAGTATTTTTATTTCTTAGCCAAGAGTTTGGTTTTACTGTTAACGTGGCCTGGTGAGAGTAGAGAAGTCTGAGCTGGGAGCCTGAGGTTCCCCTCCTAGCCCAGATCCACAGTGGACACACTGGATTTCCTGTCACAATCATGAGCATGGCATGATGCTGTCCTTTAGGAATATATTATTCAAGAGTTCTCAGTAAAGCACTTTGGAATCTCAATGATTTTTTGGAAATTACAACAAATAATTATTTGCTATTTTGAAATATGCAATTCCTATCCTTTCCCTTTTATATACAAATAAATAAAAAATTTTTTTCAATTTCATCTTAGTATTTACTTGTTTTTCTCCAATATTTGAAAGACAGCAAGTCTACTTCTCCTCCTTTCAATGATCTTATATTAGGCCTGAAGTGGGGAGGGAAGGAAGGTACTTCAAGTAAGGCAAAGGATTCTCTGAGGACAAAAAATGGCCTTTATTTCAGAAGCAGTGCCATTGTTTCTGCTTGACCATAGGTTGCACAAGTTATAGGCTGTCTTGAATTGTGCACACAACTCCCATAAATATGATGCCTACAACCTCCAAAACATAAGCCGTCACAAAGAACTAATTCTTGGTTGGATGCTTAAAACTGATAATCACTTTAATTCAAATCAAGGCATCCTATCCACTTCTAGCAGTATCTCACTGACGAGTAACATATCCCATAGGACCATGCCTAGCAATGAGAATAAATCAAATATGTCATAATCAATTCTGTGATAAAACTTCCATTCTGTTTTCTATCTAAACATTAGAGTTATGTGTAATCTTGCTCCCTTAGAAATTAAGAAGGCACTCGAATTAACGCAGTTATGCAGAGTTATTTTTTGAAAGACACTGTGTGACAGTAAGTAGAACTCGTGGGTTTACGGTTCTTGCTCACTATGTTCATGACACTGAACATGCCAGTGCCTTTACACACTTCTCCCTTAAACAAGAGCATCCTAGCTGGGGAGAAACTGCAGCACATCGAGTGTCAGGGCTGCACACTTCTGTTTGAGAAATAGATTCAGAAGACAAAAGGTTCAGTTGTTACAATGGGGTTCAAATCTATAGCATACTTTAAATAGCATGGACTTTTAAAATATAATTTTTCTAGTAACAAAATAATAAAATTAAATCAACTTTCTGTGAAAATAAAATACATCAGTTCCTTTTACAGTGAAATCTTTTAGCATCTTTTACAGTTCAATGGAGCTAAAATCGCGATTGCATTGCTGTATAGCAAGTGGTAGCTGCACTCATAAATTGTATTCAGCCCATATGAGATACCATCTTATGCTACATAAGAAAAAATTATTATACTATGTTTTCATAACAATATTAAAGGTTCTCTTTACACTTATACACACACAAACACAAATATAGTGTGACTCAACAAGCACAGACTGGTATAACTTGACCATATCTAAATGACACAAAGTCTAACACATAAACTTTCCTACAAACTGCTGCATAAAAATCCAAAAACTTCCGTTTCCACATCTTGGGTCACATAAAGCCCTTACCTAAAGATTTCAGTGGCTTTTGGTGACAATCTGTATACATTTAATCTCATTAATAATTAATGAAGTCTAAATTAGAACCGTACCTTACAAATAAAAACTAACTGAAAGTCTAGGCCTCAAGTTTTTAACAGGGGACAGTAATCTGCATCAAATCCTTGAACTCAAAAAAAGACTCATCCAAGTTTAAGAAATACCTAAAATGTCCACAGATCAAAGTGGGGGGAATAAGGAGATACATAAAATGGCTATCCATGCAAATACAGACCAACAAGCCATTGAAATCAAAGAATTTTCTCAGATGCCCAAAAATGGCTCGGGCTCTGTATGCAAGATCTGTCTTCCAATTCCTTAAATGAAGAAAAAGTAGTGTTCTTAATACAAGTGACTTACATTAGCTATTTGAGTTTTTTACAGTTCACTGATGACTATAATTACATTCCTTGATTAGGACTTAACCAATTTAAATAAGGTGATGAAATAAAGGAGAAAACCTAAATTGACTTACTCTATATACATGGCACTTCCCAGGTCTTATGAAATTGGAAAGCATCATTCATTCACAATGCACTGGACTAATCTACTGATTTCTCAATAATCATTCATTCTTTCTATCACTCATAACCCATCTTTACCTTCTTTAATCATTTATTAACTTAATAAATATTTAATGAGTATTCAAATGTGAAGGCTAACATTAGAATCTGGAAACACCCTCTTACTCAAATAGGTATACTAAAAAATGGTAGGGTGAGGATGATGGTACAAACAGTTACAGATCTTATTGCTCTTTGCTTGTTGGTAGTCATCTTGATTCACAGGATGGTACAATGATTTGCTATTCTTCCAGTGAAAGTTTGATAAAATGTATGTCAATCGAAACCCAACTTTTCCTTTTAATAATTATAAATTCATAGGAAAATAAGATTAACATGTCACTGAAAATAGACATGTCCATTATATTACATGTACTCTGATTCAAAGAGATAGTTTAAGTACAGTCTACTTAGGAAAAAATACAACCAGAAAGGGCAATGCTAACTTTTTCTGTGAATGACCAGTTGAAAATGCAAATTTGAGAAATAAAGTAGCATATTAAAGTCACATACTAACAGTATCCTTTGGATACTTGTATTTTTACTCCCTACCTAAAACTTTCTTAGGAAGACAAGAGATAAAAATATAGTAAAGGATTCTATGGCTTTAGAAAGGAGTGGGTTATGAGCCTTAAGCCAATTAAGATGAGTAGAAGGTATAAAAAGGCTTGGAGGACTATAGAAACTTAGTTAATGCTTTACCAGGAATTGTCTAAACTAGTGTCTTGACACTTTCTCACATGAAAGCATAAGAAGCCCTAATATCCGGAATACCCAAAATGATGCTTAGAAAAAAGGCAATACTGAGTGAGGCCAAAATTTGGCAACACATATTAGTGGAATGGGTTAAACCTCCCATGTCTTCTGTGTGGTTCTCCCTCCCTCAATTCTCACAAAAGCTGAAAATAATAAATCTAATGATTTCAGTCAGAGGTCTATGAAGACCGTGAGGTATTTGATTAAAAATATACTTTGTATACAAAGAGCCATGGAATTATATTCATAATGGCAATTCAGTTCTCACCTAAATACTATAAAAGCCACCAAAGTGTAATTGTGCCCCAAGAGAGGACAACTTCTGCCTACTGGAGGCAGGCTAGAGAATGTTTCTAGTGTTCTTTAGTGTCTCACCCAGTTCAACAGTCTACCACTCAACAAAATCATGACACCAAAGTTAACGATTGCTTTCTTTCCCTTAAGACAATGCAGCTCCCTGCAGTGCCGGCTTTCTTCAGCGCCTTGCCCTGTACCTTTCTCTCTAGGACTGTCAAGCAAGTACAAAGGAAGCAGGCACAGCATGGTGCTCACACTCACTCTGGCACCATAACTCAAATCCTGTGAATACATACAAAAAGACACAGCTTCCAAATCCCTAGAGGAACTTTCTAGAGGGGTGGTCCTGTTTCATGTATTTGCATGTATCTTCGATATGGTATTAAAGGAGGAGATCACTTTGGTAGGCATCCTTGAAATAAGATGACAAAAAAATACGGAATGGGTTGGAAAAATAAGGTGTGTAGAAAGAATAAGGAAAGACCAATTACGATGGGGAAAACAAGAAAGCAGACTTTACCTGACCCTTCCCCACCCCAGCAAGTCACTGACCTGAAAAACTCAGCCCTTGTTATTAAAAAGATCAGAGACAGCTGTTAACATGGATACTTTGGTACCACATCCCTGATAAGTTCAGTCTCAAAGTGTTTTATCTCATTTTTAAAATAAAGATTGAAGAAGTAATCTGCAAAACTCTTCTCTAGTAACCTTTTAACAGTCACATCACAAAAGCTTTATAATTCATCCAGTGTATCCTAAGTAACTTCAATATTTAAAAGGAACATTTTTATGAATACCCATGTTCATTTCTCCAATTTTTATGAGTAAATTTATAAAGGAAAATGTTATAACTAAAATAACTAAAAATGGCATTCTAGGCTTTTAGGGAAAAATTATTTTATAAGGGTTGATGACTGTTTTGGCATATACCAAATATGAGATAAAAACTATCAAAACTTGTACTAAAAGTAATTTTTTCTAATACTGCAATTACAGAAACTCTTAAATTAGTTTTTAAAAAAATAACCATTTTAAAATGGATATTACATGGAAGCATTTTTTCATATAAATTCCAATATTCCTGTCTTTGGTTATCTTAGTCTAAAACAAGTGGAACATACTAGAGAAAGAGAACTGGTTTATGGTTTCACATATCCATCCAGCCAGCCTTTGATTTGCCAAATAACAATTAGATCAAGTTACTCTGCATTTGTATTAATGTTCTTCAGCTTCGAAACATAAATTTTTAATTACTAAAAACATCTGCCTATGTGGCAACTGCCCTGAGATGGGTGGACGTGTGTGTTGAACCAATTAGAGGAACCAAGTAAGAAGCCCCATGTTTAAAAATATAAAGAAAAGTCAAAAATTAAAAATTTGTCACTAATCTTTAACAGGAAGAAATGATTATTTTATCCCCAAAGGAATGCCAGTTCTTAACAAAATAAATAAAATGAAAAATTTACTATGGACTTTCAGCTTAGAGATGAAGAACATATAGTTAGCCAACATCAGCAAACAGTTCATGCAACTATGTAAATAAGGAAAGCAATATTGCACTACAAAGGGAATTGTGAAGGACTGACTAACCCACCTTTCACTGACTCAAAGTAACCAGCCATTTCCTGTATGCATTTGCATATCTTGCTTGTTCTACATTTCGGCAAGTGGACAATACTTGATCAATGAACCTGTGTTCCATTTCTAGGCCTAGGGAGTCTGAGGCTGGGGTCCGCTTCAGGCGTTTGGTTTCCTGGGAATAGCCTTGCTTGCTAGAGTCATTCAGTCCATCCACTTCCATTGCCTGAGACAGCTGGGGGCCTGCTGGGATGATGTGCAAGTCACTCACAGTCCCCCCAGGGCTGTCTGCAGATGGCAGCTGGATCAAGTTGTGAGCCAATCTACCACTTAAATGATGTTGAAGGTAGAATACATGCCGTCTGTGAGGGAAGTGGGGGAGGAAGAGAACAGAGAAAATCACATCTCAAAGTCGAACTTTTCAGGAAAAACAAACAAAAATGTTGAGACTTTCAAAGCCTATTGTACTATGCTTACTATCCACTTCATAACCCACATACATGAAGAAAGAAGGAGACAAAGTTCCTGAGAATTTGGACAAAGCCTTCGATTCCAACTTACTGGTTTGCTGGTGACAAAGAATACTATCCTAAAGGTCTTTCAATAAATATTTATTGATATGAGAATAATGACCTGGAGTTGTTTGAAACAAAAAACTAAAAACAGGTCTTAGCCAATTTCTGTTAAAAATGATTATACATGCAAAATCATAATTAAACTTCATTCATACACTAGAAGATAGTGATTCAGAAACAAGGGGTATTAACCAATTCTTCCATAGACTTATCTGATGGTCTCAAATAGTTTCCTTAATAAGAATAACCAATCTGCTACAGTTGGTCTTAGTATCTAAAAATCAATTCAACTTTGTCCTAAACCCATCCTCACAGTTTTAAACATCCATATTTAATGGAGGTGTGCTGGGCTTTGAGTAAAGCATGTTAGAAGATACAATTCCTGGGGCTAGCGCTGTGATGTAGTAGGATAAACCTCTGGCCTGCAACACTGGCATCCAACGAGGGCACTGATTCATGGCCCAGTTGCTCCTTTTTCGATCCAGCTCCCTGCTTTATAGCCTGGGAAAGCAGTGGATGTGTGCATCCATGCGGCAGACCCGGAGGAAGCTCCTGGTTCCTGGTTTCAGATTAGCTCAGCTCCGGCCATTCCAGCCATTTGGGGAGTGAACCAGTGGATGGTCTGTCTCTCCCTCTCTCTCTCTAACTCTACCTCTAAAATAGATAAATATATCTATTTTTTTTTTTTGACAGGCAGAATTAGACAGAGACAGACAGAGAGAAAGGTGTTCCTTTCCCATTGGTTCACCCCACAAATGGCAGCTACGGCCAGTGCTGCACTGATCCGAAGCCAGGAGCCAGGTGCTTCCTCCTGGTCTCCTATGCGGGTACAGGGCCCAAGCAGTTGGGCTATCCTCCACTGCCTTCCCGGGCCACAGCAGAGAGCTGGACTAGAAGAGGAGCGATCGGGACAGAACCGGTGCCCCAACTGGGAATAGAACCCAAAGTGCCGGCGCCGCAGGCAGAGGATTAGCCTAGTGAGCCAAGGCGCCGGGCTAAATATATCTTTAAATAAATAAAAAAAAATGCCTGGGAAAGATTAAAAAAAAAAAAAAAAAAGATACAGTTCCTGTTCTCCCTCAAAGGGGAGCAGTTCTCCTGCCCTTAGAATCATCTGGTACTGTTCGTTAAAAATGGGGACAGGTGTTTGGCTGCACAGTTAAGATGTTAAGACACAGGTATGACACCATGTCTCACACTGTAGAGCCTGGGTTCAAACTCAGTCTTGGCTCCTGACTCAAGCATCCAGCTAGTGAAGACCCTAGGAGGCAGCAGATGATGGCTCAGTAATCAAAGCTGGATAAAGTTCCCTGCTCCCAGTTTCAAGCCAGTCCATTACTGGCTGTTGCAGGCATTTGGTAAGTGAACCAGTATATGGGAACTTGCCCAAACAAATAACTTGGGGTGGGGGGAGATGATGATGATATGGAAACATAACTCCTCTGTTGGGCAGAGCTCCACCATCAGTCAACCACATTTCCACTGAAGGTAGAAGTCAGATGTAATACCATCTATGGCTCTCCAAATGACATGCCAGCAGGCAGGAAGTGGATTTTCCCTTCTCTTACCTATGACACCAAAGAGTTTCATGTCCTGGGTAAGAATCAATAAGATCAGTGCTGAATTCAACTTCTTCTTCTAGAAGATGGGGAAGATTTATCCTGGGTTCCTCTGTTGAAGCTGCTGCTGCTTCATCTTTGGGAAGAACTGGGGCTGACTCATTTCTCAAAGGGTTTTGCTCCAATGCAGAACTGTCATTCACAGTTTGGCTAATCAAAGACTTTAACAAAAACTGGCGGTAGTGAAATCCACTGTGGTCTGAAACATGCATAGACGCCCAATGTTTAGTAGAAGAGAGTTCATCAAGAAGAATCTTGTAGGAAGAAAAAAGGGAAGTAAGAACAGGAATACCCAAAGGACTTTTCCCCTCTACCAGTGCCTGAGTTCCAATTGATTCATTCCTTGTTCTCACTAGTATTTTGAATACAACGTCCAACACAGTAATGTGCCTTAATAGAAGCTGAACACCTGCTGGTTTCAGGGCTGGCATGGTGGCATAGAAGGTAAAGCTTTACCTGTAGTGACTGCATTACATATGGGCGCCAGTTCAAGTCTTGGCTGCACTACTTCTGATCAAGCTCCCTGTTAATGCACCTGGGAAAGCAGTGGAAGATGGCCCAGTACTTGGGCCCCTGCACCCATGTGGGAGACTTGGAGAAGCTCCTGGCTCCTGGCTTCAGCCTGGTCCAACCCTAGCTATTGTGCTCATTTGGGGGAGTGAACCAGCAGATGGAAGATATCTTTTTCTCTCTCTCTCCTCTGTATCTCTGCCTTTTAAATAAAGAAATATCTATAAAAAAATTTGCTAGTTTCTCTTTTCCTTTATAAAGTAATAGATTTTTTTTTTATAGTCATGGAATTTAAAGACTTATTTATTCTTTCCTTGGATCCTGATAACCCTAACTGGCACACAAAGAAAAGCTAAATTCCAAAAAATAATGATAAACCTTAGGGTGCTTCTTTATAAAGCATTAATGATGTTGAAGGAAAAATATAAATTCAGAAGCAAATAGCTTCTGAATATAAACTTCTGATATAAAGTTTCATACATCTAATGAATACATACTATACTCAAATCTAATTTGGATGAATATGTACTATATGTGTACAACAACAAACTCAATGTAATTATCTGTTCTTCACCATAAATGTCATGAAGGCAGAAACCAAGTCTGTTCACTACTTAATTCTAAGAACTTAACAAAAAACATGATGCATGAACAATAGAATTTTAAGAGCTCATGACTTTCACTCTCTAATTTTCTCAAATTCACTAACATCAATGATAAGAGTTTTAAAAATAAATAAAAAATTAGCAGTAAATTGCTTAAATCTTTGTAGTAACAGTCCTGCAAACTAAATAATTTCAAATTGAATGATGAAGATGAAACAGCATTTATGAAAAAAAGGAATTATTTGGCAGTTCCTTGGACAGGCTGCAACTGTGAGTTTTATTCAGTGAAAGGTACATTGAGGGCCTACCACATTCCACAGAGGATTTTCAGACCAGCTATGGAAAAAAGACATACAGTTGGTAAACAGTGAACAATACAGACAGCACACTGCCAAAGATGCTTTTGCCTGCTTGTCAAGGACCCTAGGCTTTCTCCTGTACTGAGATCCCCTACCTACACCTCAAACCCTTTCTTCCCTAGAAGAAATCTTTCCCCTTCTGAGCCGTAGTACCTGTGTGTTCCATCATATAAATCAGGGAATTTTCTGTACATTTCTTTATTCCCATTAAACTCTGCCAAATGCTTTTAGTTTTTTTTTAATCTGCAAAATATTTATTAATTTCTAGTTTACGCTTCTATTCCCCTATGCTAACAATCACAGTAGATATACAAGTATTTTATGAATGAACAAACAATTAAATGAAAAGAGGTGACTAGTACAATGATGGAAGATTGTTTCCATCCAGCATGATAGTACTGATACATTTTAAATACCTCCCTTAAGTTCTAATGAGTTTACCCATGGCCAATGAACTTTTATTGCAGAAATGACAGCTAGTGAGCTCTCAGAAATGCAAAACAAGATGGTATATTGAACTGTAAAAGGAGAGCAAAAATAGCACCAGATGAACTTACACCTGAAGAAAAAAATTCATTTTAAGGCAGTTTTTGAAGAGTTAACCCAGAACACTTAAACCATAATGTAACAGCTTTTAAATTCTGGCAAGAGGCTCCTTTTGCCACACCACATGCTAAGTCATTTAGTCCTTATCCCCAGGAATTGATTTTAGCTCCTTTGTCAAAGATAAGTTGGTTGTAGATGTGTGAATTGATTTCTGGAGTTTATATTCTGTTCCACTGATCTACCCACCTGTTTTTGTGCCAGTACCAGGCTGTTTTGATTATAACTACTCTGTAGTGTGTCTTAAAATCTGGTATTGTGATGCCTCTGGCTTTGTTTTTATTATGTAAGATTGCTTTAGCTATTCAGGGTATCCTGTGTTTCATATGAATTTCAGCATTGTTTTTTCTATATCTAAGAAGAATGTTGTTGGTATTTTCATTAGTATCACATTGAATCTGTAAATTGCTTTCTGCAGTATGGAAATTCTGATTATGCTAATTCTTCCAATCCATGAACATCAAAGATTTTTCCTTTTTTTTGGTGTCTTCCATTTCTTTTTTTAATGTTTTATAATTTTCTTCATAGAGATCTTTGATGTCCTTAAATTTATTCCAAGGTATTTAATTGTTTTGTAGCTATTGTGAGTAGGAATGATCTTAGAAGTACTTTCTCAGCTGTGACACTGTTTGTATATACAAAAGCTACTGATTTTGTGCGTTAATTTTATATACTACCACTTTACCAAACTCTTTTACAAAAGAGTTCCAGGGGCCGGTGTTATGGCTTTAGCAGGTAAAACTGCTGTGTGCAGTGCCAGCATCCCAAATGGGCACCAACTTTAAGTCCTGGCTGCTCCACTTCCAATCCAGCTCTCTGCTATGGCCTGGGAAAGCAGTAGAAGACAGCCCAAGTCCTTCAACTCCTGCACCCACGTGGAAGACCTGGAAGAAGTTCCTGGCTCCTGACTTCAGATTGGTGCAGCTTCAGCTGTTGTGGCCATCAGGGGAGTGAAGCAGTGGGTGGAAAGTCTCTCGCCCTCTCTGCCTCTATCTGTAAATCTTCCTTTCAAATAAATAAATTAATCTTAAAAAAAAAAAAAAGTTTCAATAGTCTCTTAGTCTCCCCTATGAATCATGTCATATGCAAATAGAGATACTCTGACTTCCTTCTTCCCAATTTGTATCCATTTGATTTTGTTTTCTTGCCTGACGGCTCTACTACTACCAGAACTACATTGAATAGCAATGATTAGAGTGGGTACCCTTGTTAACATCTTAGTGAGAATCCTTCCAAGTTTTCCACATTTAATAAGATATTGGCCATAAGTTTGTCATAAATTGTCTTGATTGTGTTGAGAAATGTTCCTTCTATACCCAATTTGCTTAAGGTTTTCATCATGAAAGCATGTTGTATTTTATCAAATGCTTTCTATGCATCTTTTGAGATAACCATATGGTTTTTGTTCTTCAGTTTGTTAAAGTGATATATTACATTGATTGATTTGGAAATGTTGAACCATCCCTGCATACCAGAGATAAATCCCACTTGGTCCGAGTGAATGATCTTTCTGATGTGCTGATAGATTTGATTGGATAATATTTTGTTGAGGAGTTTTGCATCTGTGTTCATCACAGAAATTGTAGTTTTATTTATCTGTTGTATCTTTTTCTGGTTTAGGAATTAAGATGATGGTGGCTTCACAGAAGGAGGTTAGGAAGATTCCCTCCCTTAACTTGTTTTTGAATAGCATGAGAAGAATTGTAGTTAGTTCTTTAAATGTCTGGTGGAAATCAGTACAGCTTTCTAGTCCTGGGCTTTTCTTTGTTGGGAGGGTGATTCAATTTCTATCTTGGTTATTGGTTTGTTTAGGTTTTCTGTATCTTCATGGCTCAATTTTGGTAGGTTGTAAGTGTCCAGCAATCTATCCATTTCTTCTAGGTTTCTCTGTTTGTTGACATACAGCTCTTTGTAGTAATTTCTGATTATTCTTTTTATTTCTGTGGTATCTGTTGTTACATTTCCTTTTTCACCTCTGATTTTGTTGATTTTGGTCTTCTCTTTTTTTTTGGTTAGTTGGGCCAATGATATGTCAATTTTTTATTTATTTATTTATTTATTTTATTTCTTTGACAGGCAGAGTGGACAGTGACAGAGAGAGAAAGAAAGGTCTTCCTTTTCCGTTGGTTCACCCCACAATGGCTGCTCCGGTGGCACGCTGTGGCTGGCGCACCGCGCTGATCCAAAGCCAGGAGCCAGGTGCTTCCTCCTGGTCTCCCATGCGGGTGCAAGGCCCAAGCACTTGGGCCATCCTCCAGTGCACTCCCAGGCCACAGCAGAGAGCTGGACTGGAAGAGGATCAATCGGGACAAAATCTGGCGCCCCAACTGGGACTAGAACCCCGGGTGCCGGTGCCACAGGTGGACGATTAGCCTAGTGAGCTGTGGCGCCGGCCAATTTTTTATTTTTTCAAAAACCAGCTCTTCATTTTGCTGAACTTTCATTTTTTTGTTTCAATTTTATTAATTTCTTCTCTAAATTTAATTATTTTTCTCCTGCTAGTTTTGTGTTTGGTTTGCTGTTGTTTTTCTAGGTCCTTGAGATGCATCAATAGCTCATTTATTTGGTACCTTTCTAATTTCTTGATGTAGGCACCAATTGCTATAAACTTTAACACTGCTTTTGCTGTATCTCATTGTTGCTGTGGATTCATTCTGAGAGGAGGAGTGCGGTGGGGGCAAGAGGCACAGAGTCATCACACAGAATCCAGGAATTGGGTGAAAGCGGGCCAGAGGTAAGCAGCCTGAAGACTCCTTTATTTCAGTTGGTACAGCAGCTTATATAGCCGAGGCAGCCAATCTGGTCAAGGGGCAGTTTATGCCCTAACCAATCACAGCCTGTTCCCAGGCAGGCTCTGTTGCCAGGTGGTTTCCCAGGTGGTTTCTGAAGCCATTCCTGAGTAACTGATGCTCACTTGCCAGCGGCCATTTTGGCATGGCCTTCTCATTCCACCACATTTCCCCCTTTTCGTTTATTTTTGAGCAACGGGAGGCATGATTCTTGGCCATACCATTGTTGACCCCGTTTCCATGCAGTCTCCGTACGCGGCTGCAGCTGTGCCTGTCTTAGGTTGTCCCCCATGGGATCTTACCTGTTATTGACTAACCAGCCCTCAAAACAGGAGACCACAGGAGTGCTTGCTCAGATAGGGGTAGGAATGAGGAACAATGGTAATCA